GAAGGAGAAAAGTCTGCACTGGGTCCATTCATGGTTTCTGCAACTGCTGACTGAAATAAAAAATGCACAATATGAGAGATATGATTTTTGAATTTATTCAGGGGCCTTTGTTCTTGCTGTTCAGTGGCTAAACTGGGTCCAGCTCTTTGCAACCCAGTGGACTGCAGCACCCCAGGCTCCTCTGTCCTCCACTGTCTCCCAGAATTGCTCAAATTCATGTCCATTGAGTTGGTGATACTATCTAAACATCTTATTATCCTCTGCCACCACCTTCTCCTTTTGCTTACAATCTTTTCCAGCATCAGGGTCTTTTCCAATGAGTAGGCTCTTTGCATCAGGTGGCCAAAATATTGGAGCTTCAGCTTTAGCAATAGTTCTTCCAATGAATAGTCCAGGTTGATTTCCTTTAGGATTGGCTGGTTTGATCTCCTTGCTGTTCAGGGGACTCTTTAAGAGTCTTTGCTAGAAGACATTTGAAAGCATCAGTTCTTCTTTATGGTCCACTCAGCGTTTTATGCTCAACCTTTATGGTACACTCACATCTATACATGACTACTGGAAAAACCATAGCTTTGACTATAAGGCCCTTAGGGGCCTGACTTAGTACTATAGCCTGTGAGACTGCTTCTTAGATAGCTCCTAAGAGGTAGAGAAAGAGCCAATATGTGTAATTTTTTTTTTTTTTTGACTGGGAAATACATATAGTCAAACATACATCTTGGTGAAAGAGTTCTAATCACACACAAAAGAATCAAGTATCTCAAGTAAGTGATTTTAGTGCTTATTTATGTATAGGAAGAATCAAGAATCTGGTGTCACTGAAATTCTTCCTGACATGTATCATAACTATCTTGGGACCAAAAAACAGAATATTTAATCTTGTTTTTTTTTTTTTTTTCTTTCCATTTATTATTAGTTGGAGGCTAATTACTTTACATCATTACAGTAGTTTTTGTTATACATTGAAATGAATTAGCCATGGATTTACATGTATTCCCCATCCCAGTGCCCCCTCCCACCTCCCTCTCCACCCGATCCCTCTGGGTCTTCTCAGTGCACCAGGCCCGAGCACTTGTCTCATGCACCCAACCTGGGCTGGTGATCTGTTTCACCCTAGATAATATACATGTTTCAATGCTGTTCTCTTGAAACATCCCACCCTCGCCTTCTCCCAGAGTCCACAAGTCTGTTCTATACATCTGAGTCTCTTTTTCTGTTTTGCATATAGGGTTAATCTTGTTTTTTATCCTGTATTATAGGGGCTACCCATTCCAGTATTCTGGCCTAGAGAATTTCATGGACTGTATAGTCCATGTGGTCGCAAAGAGTTGGACATGACTGAGCAACTTTCACTCACTTTCTTTCATTCCTTTCAGTGACTGCATTGGCTTATGACTTGATACTTGTAGAACTGGAAGGCAGGCAACATTCTTTGTTTTACAGGCTTTATCTTTGTCAGGAAAGCAGTACATTGTCTGCATTGTGAGAACTTTCAGCATCTGTAGTTAAGATGTACAGTATTTTTACATTAGTGGCTTTTATTTTAAAAACTGAACATTTACCCCATTTTAAAGATGAGAGAAGAACAGCTTAGTAACTAGATAAAGGACATGGCAGACCCTAGATTTGTACCCCTGTCTACTCCACCATCCACTGTATTATACCGCCTATTGTCAGTGTTCTGTGCTGGTCTCAGCCTATCACTAACCAATGTTGTGACTGAATCAGCCCTTGTGGTTATGATTATGACTGCAAAATGCCCTTCAGAAATAATTATCAGGACACTTTGGGGAAAAAAAAGTTTATTACTTCAAGACCTGGAAATTGCATAGCCTACCGGGGCCACATAATAAGGTTGGGTTGGGGCTGGTGCAGAGAAAGTGAGTGTGAGTGATAGTCTGGGGTTCTACTTTCATTGAGGTTGACAGTGAGGGCCTAGGGTTTCATGGGCTCATACTTCTAAAAACTTATTTTTAAAAATATGTATTTTGCTGTGCTGCGTGTTAGTTGTGGCACATGGGACCTTTAGTTGCAGCATGCAAGCTAGATCCCAACATGTGGGATCTAGTTCCCTGACCAGGGGTTGAACCCACGCCTCCTGCAGTGGGAGTGAATAGTTCAAGCCATCGGACCACCGTGGAAGTCCCTTCTGGGCTTATTCTTTATTTATAAATTTAAAACATAAGAGGAGGAACTTAATATGTGGGAGGAGAAAAAAGCGAGTGGCCCAAACGGTCAGTTATCAAAATCAACCAAAATGTTTGAACCAAAGAACTTCAGTGGGGTAGGCAGCCTGGCTGTTCATGTTTTTTGGTTGTGTGGCTGGCAATGTGTTTATTCTCCATAGCTATCTTTGAAGTTGATGCTTTCACAGTAAAAGCACTTGCATTCCAAAATGGGAAAAAAAATCAACTGTTAGGGCTCACCCAACAGTTATTGATGTAGGTTGTTTAGTTTTTGGTGACTGGATATGCCTGGAGGAAACACAAGATGTTCACATTGTAGTTCTGTGAAGTGTAGTATCACAGAGGAGACGTGGCAAGTATCTATCTTCATGGTGTCAGTTTTTTTAATTTTTAGAAAAAGACAAATATAGAAAAGCACAAAACTAATGTGACAGACATCTTTGTATCTGTGATCCACAGTAAACACAGATAGTATATGCTTCAGATTTTTTAAAAAAAAGGTTCCTGAAACCATTGACATTCTTGCTGTACATCCTCTTAATCCTATTCCTCTCTTCTTACCCTCCTTTTCCACATAGACAAAACTCTTACATATTTTTTTGTTTTTATATTTTTATGTGTTTTAAGACAAAAATCTTTTTACATTAATGCTTTTATTAAACACATTTTACATGTACATTATATATAATTTCATATGCCTAAACAAAATCTCCTAGCCATAAACAATATAATAATCACTAACATTTACAAAGCAGCCCCAGTTCTAAAAACTTTATTAACTCATTTAATTTTTATAATAGTCCAATTAGTTACGTTCTCTTATTCTCCCCATTTCACTGATGAAAAGAATGAGGCATGGAGAGATTAAATAACTTGCCCAAGGATCATCAGCCGTAATTGGCAAAGCCACTGTCTGGCTCTATAGATAGAAATGTTTTAAGTGTTAAAAAACAACTTGCAAGTGCTAAGTGCTATTATATTGTAGTTAACATTCAGAAACTTGGTTTTCACTCAGCATTGTTCTCGAGATTCTATTCCTTTGGATAATTATAGATTTAATTGATTCTGTTAACCTGGCTTCCCAGATGGCGCTAATGGTAAAGAACCCGCCTGCCAATGCAGGAGATGTGAGAGACTCGGCTTGGGAAGATCCCCTGGAGAAGGGTATGGCAACCCACTCCAGTATTGTTGCCTGGAGAAATCCTGTGGACAGAGGAACCTGATGGGCTACAGTCCATGGGGTTGCAAAGAGCTGGACATGACTGAAGTGACTTAGCACGCTTACACAATTCCATTAGAGTGCTATTATGCTTTATGGTTTCCATCATATGACTTGTTTTTACTTTGTCCATACTGGATATTTAATTTTGTTTCTCCGAATTCTCTGTATTACAAGAAAATGTTGCAATGAACACCCCTGTACATGTCTTCTTGTGCAGTCATGTGAAGAGTCCCTTTGGGATACCACCTGGTAGTAGGGTAGCTGGGTTAAAGGGTGTTAACATTTTCAACTTTTCTAGATATTGGCAACTTTTTCTCCCAGGTGCCTCAGTTCACAGTTCACATCCTCACTAGTCAGAGGTGGAATATCCATACAGACAATGGCCAGACCATATATAAAAATATGAGAACTCTGACAGAGAAAGACAAATATCGTATGATATCACTTATATGTGAAGTCCAAAAAAATGATATAAATGAACTTATTTATAAAAAGGAAATAGACTCATAGGCATAGAAAACGAACTTATGGTTACCAAAGGGGATGGTGGGGGAAAGATAAATTAGGAATTTGGGATTAACATACACACTACTATATATTGGATTGGCCAAAAGTTTGAGTTTTTCTGTAACATCTTTATGTACATCTGAAACTAACACAACATTCAAAATTAACTGTATTTCAGTTTTTTTTTTAAATGGCTAAAAAAAATCACAAACAGCCAAAAAAAAAAAAAACCAAACTGAACCAGAACTCTGACCTGCAACCTACAGAAGCCTGCCCAGAAAACTAACTCCTTACCTACAATAAGCAGCCCAGGAAGCCAGCCTGCTGTGAGTCAGGCTTGCAAGAAGCTATTGTCTTAATCTGGCTTCCTTGGTGGCTCAGATGGTAAAGAATCCTCCCGTAATGCGAGAAACCTGGGTTGGGAAGATACCCTGGGGAAAGGCATGGTAACCCACTCCAGTATTCTTGCCGGGAGAACCCCCATGGACAGAGGAGCCTGGAGGGTTACAGTCCCAAAGAGTTGGACAGGACTGAATGACTAAGCACAGCACCGCATTGTCTTAATTAGCGTTTGAATGATTGTTAGTGAGATAGAGCCATTGTGTAAGACAGTTCTTTCCAGAGGTGATTAAGGAATTTAGAGTGAGGCTTTAGGAAATCACCTGTAAAGTAGGGGAGGATACAAATGTAGGTGGGTTTAGCTTTGTTAATTTCTGAAAAGAAAGGAAGTAGTCTAGAACCATTATCTTAGACTTTGAAGCAGAAAAAGTCTTTTCTGAACTGCATTATGTAGGACCATAAACAAGATGAAAACTGGAGCACCTCAGGTAAAATAAAGTCAATATTATGGTCCCACCTACCTGCCACCCTCCCCTTCCTTCCTGTCTCCCCTACCCCCAGATTACCTGAGTCATTGTTGGGATCCTAGGGCTGGGTGGTAACCTCCTGGGTGCTGTAGAATGCCTCCTGCTGAGAGAATTTGGTGAGGATTTTTCATCTGTCTCAACCTCGGTGTAGAAGGGGAACTTGATAAATTTCACAGATCTTTGGGCTAAATGTATTCTATTTCTTTGGTCTCCTGGCAGGCAGGAATTTGTGGACGCTTATGTGAATTATGTCTTCCAAATCTCAGTTCATGAGTGGTATACAGCTTTCTCCAGCGGCTTCCTAAAGGTGTGTGGTGGCAAAGTGCTAGAGCTCTTCCAGCCTTCAGAACTGAGGGCCATGATGGTGGGGAACAGCAGCTACAACTGGGAGGAACTGGAAGAGGTAAGCCTAAAAGACGCAGTCTTTTACTTCTGAGTGAGTAGCAGTGGCCTGGGCAGGAATACCCAGACCTTGGTCTCTTTTTGGGTGATCTGTGATTAAGTAGGATTTGGGGGTCTCCTTCATCTCAGTGTTTATTTCTTACTCTCCAGTGCAAATGGTATACAGATGTCCACTTGTAATATTCTGCTTCTGGAAGATAATTTTTTTCTTTTTGTCTTTTTTGGGCAGACTGCCATCTACAAGGGTGATTACTCAGCCACACATCCCACCGTGAAACTATTCTGGGAAACATTTCATGAGTTCCCATTGGAAAAGAAGAAGAAGTTTCTGTGTAAGTATCAATAATGTCCATATGGTATTTGTCCACATTTTGTTTTTCTGTTTGGTATAGGATGGTATACTACATGGGTGAAGTTCAACTCTTTTAAATGGTAAAGGGTAAGCGTACTCACTCATTCAGTCGTGTCCGACTCTTTGTGACCCCATGTCCATATGGTATTTGTCCACATTTTGTTTTTCTGTTTGGTATAGGATGGTATACTACATGGGTGAAGTTCAACTCTTTTAAATGGTAAAGGGTACGCGTACTCACTCATTCAGTCGTGTCCGACTCTTTGTGACCCCATGAACTGTATAGCCTACCAGGCTCCTCTGTCCATGGGATTTTCCAGGCAAGAATACTGGAGTGGCTTGCCATTTCCTTTTCTGGGGAAAGGCTAAGTAAGGAAATATATTTACACTTTTTGTCTTAGTGATGTCTCAGGCACAGTAGAGGTTGTTAATCTTTATTTGTTGCTTAATAGGATGGGTTGAATGAAAGGAAGAAAAGCATTTCACTGATTTTTTTTTAATTGCTCTAGAAATATTAGGTATTTATATGTGATTCCTTGAAGTTTTACATTGATGAAATCAAATTGGTTGGATTAACCTCCCTTCTCTCTCTAGCCTTTTAAAAATATTAGAGTGTCCACTCTCAGTGTAACTGGGCAGATGTGATTTATAATAGCTTTATTGAGATTTAATTCACACACACATACTAAATAAGTTAAAGTATATAATTCAGTGGTTTTTAGTATACTCACAGTTGTGAAACTGTCAATTAGTTTTAGAACCTGTGTATCACCCCGAGAAGAAACAGTGTACCCGTTAGCAATCATTCCCAATTTTCTCCGAGCTTCCCACCCCTTACTAATCTGCTGTCTCTATGGATTCCCCTGTGCTGGACATTTCATACAAATGAAATCATACAATAAGTGGTCCTTTGTGACTGGCTGGATGACATTTGAGAATGGTAATACATTCAGAAAGGAAAATGAAATTGAGCCTCTTAAAAATAGTAGAAATCTTTGTGTCATTCTGTAATCAGGGTCATAAGTTAGCCAGTGAATAGTATAAAACTTAAAAATAGAATTTGAAAGGCAGTCTCTTTTGCTTTATAAGAATAAGCATATATTAGTATTAATGCAAGATTTACCCCCAGATTCTGCTGCTCACAGGGAGTAAAGATGAGAGGAAGTAGAGATCTTAGAGAAGAATTCCTTAAAAAAATCCCTGCTTCCCCTCTGCCCAGTTACATGGGCTCTTGAGAAACAGTGGCATGTGAGTCAAGTGACAGGATAAGGTTGCCAGTGGAGCTTGTAGAGCTGTGACAAGAGCTATGACAATCAAGAAGAGCCTGATCTTGGTCTGGGGGTTTCCTTTAAATAAGACATTTTTCTGTTCAGAGACCTTTAGACTTTCATAAATCTATTATTAGACTCTATAGTCTAATAATAATAACTTTATTAGACTATATTTATTATAGTCTTTATTAGACTCTATAGATTTGGCAAGAATGTTTATATGTATCACAGCCTCAGGTAGTGGCAGGTTATTTGAAAGTGCTCCTTAACTAATGATATCATTGTAGATTTTCTAGCAGTTCAACAAAGAAGGTTATCTGGTGCTGGAAAACTGGAAAAGGCAGAAGGGTTGGTCTCTTTTTCCTAAGTTACAGTGTTGTTGCAAGAGTGAAATACTTCATATACTGCCGGTGTCAGATCTCCGGGTTTAAGGGAAAGGCAAGCAAACAGATCCCAAATGGAAATTCACCAGCAAAGGGGGTAGAAGCAGATGGGAGAGGAGACCCTGAGGCCACATAGACTATCATCTTCTTCCTGGTTTCCCTGAGGTCAGCTCTTTTCCTCTGGCAGCAATCCCCTTCCTCTTTGATTTTGTGAAGGCTCATAACATTTATGAGAACACACATTTGATGGAGGCCATTTTAAGGGAAGGGTGATGTTTAAAACCTTTTTACTGGAATATAATCACTTTACAAGGGCATATTGGCTTCTGTACAGCAAAGTGAGCCAGCTATGTATGTATACATGTAGCCCCTCCCACCCTTCCCCCTCCCCTTTGTGTCGTCGCAGAGCATTGAGCTGAGAGCCCTGTGCCCTACGGCAGGCTCCCACTAGCTGTCTGCTTTACACCTGGTAAATGTGTGAATCCTAATCTCCCAGTTCGTCCCACCCTCACCCCCACCCTTACCCCCATATCCACCTGTCCGTTCTCTGCATCTCTAGCCCTGCCTTGGAATTAAGTTCGTCTCTACCATTTTTCTAGATACCACATATGTGCGTTAATATACGATATTTGTTTCTCTTTCTGACATACTTCACTCTGTCTGACAGACTAGGTCCGAGGTCATTTTTTATGTGAGGGCATTTTTGAGCATTTTTTCACTGGGTGCATTCTTTGTGTCAGCATATAATTAGGGTCTGAAATTAGCCAATGAAAAGTATAGACTTCTAAGTCCATATGAAACCAAAAGAACAGAATTTGAAAGTCAATCTCCTGAAGAGTGAGCAGATTTAATATTAATATAAATCGCACATAAAAGCGGTTGCACTTCACACACGAGCCACAGGGTGTCACTCCTTCCCTTCGGTACGTCCCAGGGCCACTGAGCGCACGTTTGCGTAGCTGGTAACTCCCCTTTTCTTTCCCCGCAGTGTTCCTGACGGGCAGTGATCGCATTCCCATCTACGGCATGGCCAGCCTGCAGATCGTCATCCAGTCCACGGGCAGCGGAGAGGAGTACCTGCCCGTGGCCCACACTTGCTACAACCTTCTGGACCTCCCTAAGTACAGCAGCAAGGAGGTCCTGCGGGCGCGGCTGACCCAGGCCCTCGACAACTACGAGGGGTTCAGTTTGGCCTGAGCACCCCAGCTTGCCCCAGGTTTCCCTTCCTTCCTCAGCAGCCACAGTGAGGCCCATACAGAAAATCATAGGGAGTGAGTTCTATTTTTTTTTACTATATAGCAGGTTGGAACTTTTGAATCCTGAACCTGAACCAAACTCCCCAGTGTTCCTTGCACTTGTGACTATGTTGCACTCTACTGGATAAAGGGCGGTAGATTTTTAAACTATTTCCCAAATCTCTCTCTCAGCACTGATCTTTCCTCCTAACACTTCCTTGTCCTTCTTCCGACTTCTCATTCCTCTGCAAGAATGATTTGACTGACCCATCCTTTCTCTCCTGCACATGTAGAACATCTTTCTCTGCAGCCTTGGAAATGCTCCTGGCTTGTTGCAGCCCAACCCTCAGGACTGAGGAGGAAAGGACTACTTCAGAAATTCCCAAGCCCAACAAGCTGAGTGTGGGTCCATGACTTTGGCAGAACTCTTGAGAATTTATGGGAGCCTTTAACAAACATGCCTTCTTGTTTTGTTTTTTTAAAGTTCTCGAGGGCCTAGCTGTCTTCCTGTGGCTCTGCCTGTTCCCGGCCCTCCTCAAAGCTGTGCAAAGCTGCTTAGTTTTGCAGCTGAGCTGAATTTTGTCTGGTTGCTCCGCCAAGCCCTTCTGACAAAAAGATGAGGTAACAGGTCCCCACCCTCTTCTATCATTTTGCTTTTGGAGCAAGTCGCATTAATTTTTTAAGAAATATTTTCTCTTAGAAAAGTAGAAAAAATAAATTTCTTGCCTCTTTCTATAACTATCACTTTCCATCTCTACCACTTTGTCTTTCCTCCCCACCTGCTACTTTTCATCACTTTCTGTTACCTAACTTAATGCTCCCTTCCTTTCCTTCCAGTAGATGCATGCAGTCTATTTTAGTTTTTATTTATATTTAAATTGCAAATATTTCTATTCAGATTCCCCCCCCCTTCCCTAATTGCTAAGACTTAAGGATATTCTTTATTATGGGACTTTTGTTTAATGCATTTGAAATGTTTGTTTACAATGGGATTTTAGGGATTGTGTTTGAAGCAAATATACGTATTTAAAAAATCACAATATGCTGAACCTTCTTCATGAGATAAGAAAATTCTATATGAGCAAAGAATCCATTTCAGCCTAACTTTAAATTCCTAGTCACTAGAGAAAAGACTTATTTATATAAAAACGAAGTATTTATGAACCATGAGACAGCATCAAATCTCAATGAAGGACTGTAGATTTTTGCTTTTTCTTTTGTTTTTAAAACTTATTCCAGTTGGTAGTTTTTCAGTCTTTATAATACAAGATTTAAAAAAAGATAAACAGTTATACGAAATGTTTATTTTCTATGTGTGTGCATATAGTTCAATATTATGCAATAAATTTGGTGTTTTAATGTAACCAGAACTGTTTCTTCTTGTACTTGCAGAATGGGTAGCTTGCTTTCAGTGGAAGAAGTCAGTCATCTCTCCTCATCATCTAATAGAAGGTCAGATGTGGTTCCTGCCACAGAGTGGAGATGACTGCTGGGAAAATGGAAACAGGGTAGGGGTAGCTGATGGCATTAAGGCTGGGTGAGATTTCTGGAGGTTATGGGCGAAAAGGCATTCTGCATGGAGGGGAATGCCTTAGCAAGAGCTGGAATATGGGGGCATATTTAGGAAAGGGCCAGGAACAACTTGAAGGGCACATCAGAGGAAATAGAATTGTGGTAAATAGGACTGTGGTGAAAGAAGGTAGGTTTGGTACTGAGGGACCAGACAAAGCCTTGGACCTTGAAAATGTTCAGAAGCTTGGGGGTAGGGAGAGGAGGAGTGATATGACTTGACCCTAGTTTTAAAGAAAACGTGAAAAAAAAAAATGTGAATGGGGGGTACATGTAGAAGAATGGAATGGGAAGGACAGAACAGAAAGACAGCATCTGAGAGCAGTGGGGGTGTGGACAGGAGAGATGGGTGTCTTACGGGAAAAGGAGAAACTAAAGGTGAATGTAAGGCTTATTAACCTAATGGCTGATGCTAATTAGCCCACTTAGAGAAAAGTTTTTTTGCTGTGTATAAGTTTTAAAAACAATTACCATGTATTGTTTTACCAGGCTTAATAGACAATTTAAAAGTGGTAGAGAATAATAGCTTTCAACAAACATTTAGTAGCATACATAAATGCTCAATTTAAGGGACAGAAAAGTCTGTTACATTTAATTTTGAATGGAGATAGCCAAGTTATTTTAAAATTGGGGGCCTCAGAATTCTCATTTTCCATGAAATAAGGAGACTAGACCAGATAATTTCTAAGGTCCCTTTGAGCTCTAAAATTGCATTACCAAGAGCAGTGCCTGCATATCGAGATGCTCAGTAAATTCTAAATATTTGTTGCATAAATGAAATTCTGTGTTGCTTTTCTAAAAACTTTTTTTTTCTGGCATATTTTCCTCTTTTCCCCTTTATCAAGTATTGCTTTAGAACACTCTTTAGGTAGGCATTTCTAGATATACCTACCTTTTCTGAAAACATTAGGAAGCTTCTTCACTGTTTTCAGAAATGTACAATTTAATGGAAAAATCTCATTAAAACAAGGCAACTTTTGGTAGGTGGGATTCGATGACAGTGTAACCAGGCAGTTTAGCCAATTCTGATAACTCTGTCTCCATGTGAAGCCTGTTTTGATGACTAGAATGGTTCTCTATTAATTATCCTAGAGAGCCAACCAACTATAGGCTTCGAGCTAAAATGGGTTCTACATTTGAAAAGGGTTGGGACAAAAAGGATATGTAACAGCAATTATGGGTCTACAAAGCCTAACATATACCTGGCCCTTTACAGAAAAAGATTTGCCCCAACCTTCTGAGATGGGCTTCCCTGGTGGCTCAGAGGTTAAAGCATCTGCCTGCTATGTTGGAGACCTGGGTTTGATCCCTGGATCAGGGAGATGCCTGGAGAAGGAAATGGCAACCCACTCCGGTATTCTTGCCTGGAGAATCCCATGGACGGAGGAGCCTGGTGGGCTACGGTCCATAGGGTCGCAAAGAGTCGGACACGACTTCATTTCACTTTGAGACGAGACTTGGAGGAACCACAATAAAACCGTGGATAACTTACTAAAGTCTTAGGAGGAACTTGGTCATAGTTGATGTTAAATTGAGAGAACAAGTGTCTGGGACTTTTCTGCCACTGTGTAAGAAAATCAAGCTTTTCTAAGATTAACCCAAAAAATACGCACCCAGGTTTTTACTGTAATAAAAATTATCATGTACTGGTTGTGTGCCAGACGCTGCAGCAAGCATTATCTATTCACTGTTCAGTTTAAATGCAACCACTGCCCTCCTGGCTCTACCACTTACTAGCTATATGGCCTTGGGCAAGTATCTTAACCTCTCTGTATCTCATTTTCTCCCTATTTAAAATGGGAATAAAAATAGTGCCTTTCTCATGGAGTTATAATGAGAATTAAATGAATTAATTAATGGAAAGCACAAAGAACAGTGCCTAGCACATAACAAGCTCTTAGTAAGTATAATTACCATTCTAATTTCACATGAAAAAATGAATGTTTAGAGAAAATAACTTGCTTTCTGTTAAACTAGTAGTATGTGGACTTGTGACCTGTATTATGCCCAGCTATTAAAGGTGGAAAGCAAAATTTAACTAGAGATAGGTAGCTAGAGATATAATGATGTGGCAGGTAACTTTCCTGAGCATCTATCTGCAGAGATATCCTGTGCTTTGTTTTTCTGCCACTGTGTAGTTCAGTAAGGCACTTCTATGATCATAGGATTAAAATACTGATAGGGTGTGCCGTTCCTATGTCATCTGCAGTGGGTCCCACTGGAGCTGGTGTCTGTTGGCATTGAGTAGTCAGCCTAGGATTTAACTTCTCCCAGACCATAGTTTGGAATGATGGTCAAATAGTAGATTCCAAGTTGGTAAACATGTAGAGGTACTAGGAGAGTGGTGTGCCTGGTGAGGGCACTGAGCTTTATGCCCATTCCCACATACCTTGCTCTATGTATCTCTTCTATCTGACTGTTCCTGAGTTGCAGGACTGGAGGCGATGCCACCAAAATGCAGTGCAGGATCCCTAGTCACCATTCTTCCACAGAAATCAACATGTAGACATCTATCCATGAACATAAACAGCTCTGGAGTCTGCTTAAACTTCAGCGATGCAGTTGAACATCAAACCTGAGAATAACCCCACAGAAAGGGGAAGACAGCTTCGTTCTTTCTGCATCTTCCCATCCCCAAAGCCAGCAGTGCTCAGCACCAAGAGGGAGCTTCTAGCTAGAAAGAAGAAAGGGGGAGTGGGGTGAGTGACCACCTTCCCCAGCCTTTTGGGTCACCTCATGAAGGTCCCCACTTTACTTTCATGTTACTCAGAGACTGGCAAAGCTGAGATACTGAGAGATGTGGCTAGGAACAAGAAAAAAAAGCAGGGGCTCCCAGAAGCAGGCACATAGCAGGAGCGACTGGGGTGCCTAGCCACCTGCTCCACAGATATTCCAGAAGCTTTCACCACTGAAGAAACCAAGAGACAGCACAACCACCATGGACTCCACCAGCATTTGCATTCACTGACATCAGCCACTGAGTCCTTTCCTATTTTCTCCCCAGCCTGCCTCACGCTGGCCCCTGCTAGAGCCCAGGGACCTCACCAGCAGCCGGTCCAGGCCTCTGCGTGAGTACACAGCAGCAGCCTAGGTGCTCTATGACTGTGTGTGTACTTGGGGCTAGCTCCTCCAGCTGTGCACTTGTCCACTGCCAGCTTGATTCCTGTCACTGGAGTCAACTCCCTTGCCGTATACACACCCGGGGAAGACTGTGCGGCCATGGGAGAACATGCAGACATCCAGGGACCCTTGCAGCTGCCAGGGTGCTCACAGTGGGCCCTGGCCCTTCCTGCCTGCCCTGTCACCCAAGACTAGGTGTGTGTCTACGACTGGCCCCTGCCACTACATAGGCATCTATAGCTGACCCCCACAGTTGTGTGTGTATACACCACTGATTCCACTCGCCACCACCGGTCCTGCTCCTTGGACCTAGGGGTGCTGCTAAGGACCCTAACAGCCACTGCAGCCTTTGTGGACTCCCTGCAGCATTCATCAAGGGCCACTCAGCTGTTGATGCTATAGATGTCGGCAACCTGAACCAAAGAGATCACCACCATGACCCTGCCCCGCTCCTGGACCCAATGCCATCACATAACCTTGTTACCTTGCACCCCTGACCTGGGGTCACAGTGTGTTCTTCTCTCCCCCAGCCCTTCCAGGTGTGAAAGTCTTCACTTACCAAAACCAATCCATACTGCCTGGAAGAGGAGGTGACTGCTTCGTCAAAGGCACAAGACACCTAGGAGAGACGACAGGGATCACAAAGAAGCACGGAAATACGTCCCCACCAAAGGAATCTAGTAAATTTCAAGTAACTAGCCCTAAAGAAATGGAGACCCAGAAATTTCTTGATAAAGAATTTAAAATAATTGTCTAAAGATACTTGGAGAGCTATTAGCAAACAATTGAATGGTATCTGGAAAACCGTATAAGAACAATTACGATGTACATAAAAGAATAGAAAATCTGAAAAAGAAAATTTTGGAGCTGAAGGATACAATGACTGAATTGAGAAATTGAACAGAGACCTTCAATTTCAGACTTGAACAAGACAAAGAATCAATGAGACAGATCAATTGAAATTATCTTAATCAGAGAAGCAGAAAGAAAAAAGAATGAAAAGGATGGAAGAACACTTATAGGACTTAGGGGACACCAGTAAGAGAAACACTGTATGTATCACTGGAGTTATAGAAGGAGAAGACATGGAGAAATAGGTAGGAAAATTACTTAAAGAAATAATGGCTGAGAATTTCTCAAACCGGGGACAAATTTGGACTTCCAAGTTCTTGAAACTAATAGGTTATGCCAAAATTTCAATCTAAAATGATCTTCCCAAGATACATTGAAAATTGTCTAAAATAAAAGATTTTAGAACAGCAAGAGAAAAAAAAAGTCTCATAAAAGGGAACCCCAGTCAGGAAATCAGATTTCTCAGTAGAGACCTTACAAGTCATAATAGAAGAGGCTAATATAGTCAGGTACTAAGGAAGAAAAACTGCCAACCAAGAATACTTTACCTCTGAAATTTTTTCCTTCAGAAATGAAGGTGCGATACTTCGCCTAACAAAGAAAAACTGAGGAAGTTTACCACCACTAGACTTTACTTACAGAAAATGCTGAAAGGAATTTTTCAAGCTGAAATGAAGGATGCCAATTAGTAACCTGAAAACATATAAAAATACACAAAATACTGGTCAAGAGAAGTATATAGTTAGATTCAGAATACTCTAATATGGTGGTGTGTTATTTAATGCTAGTATAAAAGCTACATGACAAAAGTATTTTTAAAAAG